GATTTCTTCAGCTGTTGTCTTCTTGTAGCTGATATTACAAGGCAAATAAGAAAAATCTGGTTACTTCAGGCAAAATACAAATTGACACATTCAGGCCTGACAAGAACAACACAAGCTCATGCTGACAAGTACCAAAGATTTTATAATCTGAAGATATGGCAGTGTTCTGGCACTGAGAAATCCAAAGGTAAAAAGCAAACCACCACACAATTCCATAAAGCCATAAGCACTAACACTACAGCAAATTCTGTGATACAGATATTTTCTTTTTTTTTGCAGACATTTTAAAATACAAAAACCCTGCTGTATCTGAAGCTTATTTCAAACACCAAAAGACCTACTGTCTGCACTTCACATTGGCAAATATCCCACTGGATCCCTCATGGGTGCCATGCATACCTAGGAATAACAGTACCACTTTTCACATACTTCCATAATCTGAATATTTTGAGATAAAATATTTGCAAGAAACATAGGAAACTAGTCTTTAATTCAGTGCAAGTTTTGAGCCTAAACAAGAAGTCTTTTTGCAAGATATTTCACTGCAAAGAGAACACCATCACTGGTTACAACTCTTATTCTGATTCAAGAGCACTTAACTACCCTAATTGGTTACATTTTGGAAAAAGAAACATCCAGTTTCCCGAACTACATACTCAGTATGTCTTTAGACTTGCCTAGTACTCAAGGAATAAATTCTTAATGCCATCAAATACTCCATCGAAATCCTCTGCTCTAATGCCACACTCGTATACAGTGTGAAGCACCAAGGAATGTGAATGGACAGTGTATTTCATTATCATCTTAGAGATAATCCCTGTCCTGTATCTTAATGAAACTTAAATACCTTTTGAAGTCAGCAACAGTCTCTCCAAGTTTCTCCAGTGTATTCCTGTGCTGCTCTTGGATTTGCAATACAGCACTCCCATGAATTTCATCGATTTGCTCCAACTCAGCATTCTTCCTGAAATAAAAATTCAGCATTCCACACTGGAGAGAAGTGTCTGAACACATTACCAAATGCTCTTATCAGTTACAGAAGGCTTGCAGTGACAAACCAGTAGCTCCTCATGTAGTAAAGCACAATCTTCACAGCAGATATAACTAAGCATTTCCCCCTCCCCATATTTTCCAAGACAGTTGTAGGATACACTAAACACCTAATAGTTAATTTCTAACACATGGAAGGAAGCAACAACTGGCTTGAAAATATCTTCTAGTCATTGCCCTCTCCAAGGCAGGGCACAAACACCCAATACAACAAGCATTTAGTTTACCCTGCACAGCAAGGACACAGCACTACAATACCAGCCTTTCAAGCAAATCTCAAGCTGATAGTTTTAAATTAAAACAGTGTCAAACTGATTCAAGTTGTTATTCATAGTGATGAGATCTAACCACTATCAATAATCAACAACCAGCAAGAAATAACTCTAGACCTTCCCAGGTCTCAAAACAAAGCTGCTGAGCCCACTTCAGGTTTTAAAGTTTTACTACTGATTTAAGATTTTTCCTTTCAAAGTTTCAGAACCAGAAATTTTTTCACAAACCCTTTCAACTTTTC